AGAGAAGAGAAGAGAAGAAGAGAAGAGAAGAGAAGAGAAGAGAAGAGAAGAGAAGAGAAGAGAAGTAGAGGAGTAGAGGCTGGCCATGAGCACGTGGAGAGAGAGAGGGGAAGGGAATGGGGAGAGAGTGGGAGCAGGAAGGCAAGAGCGAGAGAGAGCGAGAGAGCATGGTAGAAACTTTTAGGACTCAGGGGTAGAGTGGAGCCGGTAGATAGGCCCTTAGCTCAAGGCACTGTTACTACTCCCCGTAGCGTTTAAGGGCCTTACCTCTCATGTCCCCATGGTGCATGGTGTTAGGTGGCAGATCTCTTCTCATCTGACAATACTCTTTCCACCAGGGACAGAGTTCTCCAGAACCAGAAATCTATTATTCTACAGCTGGTTTTGAAATCTTTTATTTTCCCCAGGGAATTTTGTTCCTGTTCTCATCAGTCAATGTCTAGACTTTGAACAGTACAGGGGACAGTTTGTCGTATTTTCAGTTCACAAATATTGACAGAAGAATAGTTAGCTCAATGCATTTGTATGACTAAGAAACACACACACAAACACACACACACACACACACACACACACACACACACACACACACACATTTGCTCAAAATTCCAGGAACTTTCTGTTGAACGGAGGTGCTTCCCACTCTCCAACCCCTCTTGCCAACCAGAGCCCTGGACCCAGGAAAGCCCCTCCTTATCACTGTCATGAAAAGTCATGTCAACTGAGTCAGAGAAGCCGATGTTTTCTCAAACAACAATGATTTTGTACAAGACAAGGAGTCCTTCAGTCCTCAAGGGGCATAATTTTCTCACCAGAAGAAGTCCATATTAAACAGAGATGTCGCAGAAGAGGTATGTGGGAGGGCCCGGAAGGGGAGGATGTTTTGGGGCTGTGGTTCTTCTACTTCAGGCTTTAATTAGGTTTTAGTCAGGATGATGAGAGTGTTTGAATTTGACCATTGGTTTGACTTTAGTTTTAATCTCATCTCTAACTTCACTAGGTGGAAATTGGGAAAACATTCATTCGTCAACCCATCTATCTGTCTTCTCTTCTGTCTTGTACTGGAGATTGAACCTGGGACCTTACACATGTGAGGCAGTCACTCTGTTACTCATCTATATCCTCGGCCCTCTTCTCACTTTTATTTTGAGTCAAGGTTTCATTAAGTTCCTGACCTTGAGTTTGCAATCTTCCTGCCTTAGTTTCACCACACAGCTGTGATTACAGCCATGTGCCACCAGGCCCATCTGGGCATCCATTCAAATAGCCCAGACAATGAGTAAAAGCTATAAAATGTACTCTAAAAGGTCTCTATCTTGTTATGGATACATAGAGGTTGACAGTAATAGCGCATGCTACATGGAGAAAATGCAGGGAGGGGGTCATGAGAGCACAGATGGGGGGCACTGAATTCACATCTGTTTGAGGTAAGGAAGGGAAGGGAATCATGACTTGCTTCTAGGAGCAGCTTAGAAGCCTAACACTTCTGGAAATCAGGAAGAAGAGGCATTAGCCTGCAGGAGAAACGTATGGTTAGCAGGGATGTGGTATCCAAGGTAGAAAAGGACCTTCCGAGTTCCAGAGGCAAACATGGAATCTGACAGAGCAGCAAGGGCAGGACAGGTCGACAGGCATCTGAGGGCTAGATACTGAAGCCCGTCAGATGACTATGAAGACAGGGGAGCCAAGCAAGGAGCTGGGGCAGGAAAAAGGCGAGAGTCCCCACCATGTGTTTCAAAGCAATTTTAGTTCTTACCAAAGGACAGGACTGAAGCAGGGCAGGTTGCAGAGCGAGACAAATGTCTAGTGTCTTCCCATAATGCAGCTGAGAGATGGCAGCAGCTCCAGCCAAGGCTTGGTGGTGCAGAGAAGTACTTGTTGAGGGAATTGAAGATGAGAGATGCCCTGTTTGATCTCAGAGAAAGAAGAGAATGTTCTGTGCCAGGTGCTATGGTAGCTTGATTTTCTCTCTCACAACCTCCCTTACCCCTGAGGCAAGATTGTGTGTGTGCTTTATTCTATTTGGGAATTTCATATGTGAGTACTATATTTACACAATTTCCACTCCTCTCTGACCCCTTTCAACTTCCCTGCCCCAGCTCACCCTCAAGTTCCTGACTTCTTTAGCTGTTGTTCCATACATGCTCATACATGTGTATACAATATGCAAGCTACTCAGTCCATTTGGAGTTGCTGGAATCTACACATATATAGGGCTGACCCACTTGCGACTGTAGAAGCTGCCAGCGAGCTGGTCTCTGAAGAGAGCTGATTCTCTCAGTAACCACTGATAACCTGTAGTGCTTCATCTAGGGTCGAGGCCTTGTGAGGTTCCCTCTTTGAACTTTGCCTGTCAACCGGTCTTATCATTATTCAAGATTTGTTTGGGTAGCAATATTGTTGAGTTTTCATGGGTAGAGCTGATCCTGAGATGTTAAGTAACTTGTCCACATGGCAACAGCAGAATTCAAACTCAGGCCTGTGTGTCTCCAAACCTAAAAAAAGTGCCATCTAGACTTCCACTGTTGTGTCAGTCTGCTTGTCTAAGTTAATTCCAACAAACATTTGCGTCTTATGTTTAAATCAAGGTCACACATGTTTAACTTATTCTGAAGCATTTATTTATTTTGTGTTTTGATTTGAACAGACTGTCACTATGTAGCTCTGTGTGGACTAGACATGGCTGGCCTTGAACTCACAGAGATGCCTCTGTCTCCCAAGTGCTGGGATTAAAGATATGAGCCACCATGGCCAGAAGTTCTGAAGGATCTAAGTGAAGCAATAAACATAGACAGAAGTAAGTCACTGGGTCTGTAGTCAACATCTCTCTCCATGTGTCAAAATCCTAGCCACTTCCTCTCTGGGATTTTAATAAAGTCAATTTACTTTTCTTCTTTTAGCATCTTAATATGTTTATTTATTTATTTATTTATTTTGGAGACTTTTGTTCTTTTAGCATCTTAACACATTTAATTAATTAGCTAATTGTGGAGGCGTGTATACAGTGAGCTGTGACATTCATGTGGTGGTTAGAGGACAACTTGCAGGAGTCGGTTCTCTCCTCCCATCATGTATGTTCCAGAGATCACACTCAGGTTGTCAGGCATGGCAGTGAGTGCCGTTGCCCACTGAATCATCTCGCTGGGCCTTCTAAGATCAAAGTTATGAGGCAGCCTTTATCAGTACCTCTTTCCCCAACTGACTGTTTCATAGCTTTAGGTTACCATTATGTCTCCCACTAGCTTGCAAGCCACTTAAGAGAACAGCTAGTTTCTTATCACTGTAATAGTCTCAGTACTTAGTTGGGGGATAATAAACATTAATTAGATTTTGGTTGGATGAATGAGGAGTGCAGGATTACATTCATCACAATGATAGATCTGTTCGATTTGCTATCAAGTGCTCACTGAGACAACAATTATTGTATGAGTATTATCTCACTCCAACTTTGTTTATTTTGACAGTTGAACCCAGAGTACTGTACACACTAAGCACATGCCCTGAACATGCTAAGCACATACCCTACACATGCTAAGCACATGCCCTGCACACTCTAAGCACATGCCCTGCCCTTCAGCCACATGCACAGCCCAGCACTTTGCCCCTTTCTGCAACAGTGTTCTTTCTCCTTTCATCCTGTGAGATCTTGAAGACTGCGAGTACCTCCCCTCTAGCCTGTGGAGACAAGGCTCCCTGCAGACCCTGTGTGACTCAATAGAATTCTGCTTAGCCGGAACTCTCCAGGTCCCTTGGCACAAATTACATGTTCCCTCCATCCTGCTTTAATCACCAGAGCCTCCAGTCCTCATCAAGCTCTCTGACCTGTCTCAAACCAGTGCTTAAATGACACCCATTCCTCAGAAGAAACAATGAAATTTTCCTAAACCTGGCTCATTCCTGCCTTTACAAATGTCAGATACTCAACCAGACCTTAACAAGTTGTATCAGAAGACAGAACCATACCACAAAGGCTGTGGACAATAGTATCCCCCCTTCCCTGCTTTTTTTTTTTTTTTTTTTTTAGCTTTGTGAAATTGCTCTCTCAAAAATATTTCCAATGCTTTATTTATTTTGACTTCAGGTTTATTTTGGGCTGAATTTTCCTGAAGCTGCGTCTTAGGATGTGATTCTCATCCTGCTTGTATCCTGCTGAATTGCCATGTGACTTCAGCTCTTCCAGAGAAGACACGGGGTCCAGAGGATGTCAACCTCCTCTCTGTGCGGCCCAGACAGAGATGACCAACTTACAGCTCAGCTGGAAATGTGCCCCAGAGGAAAGTCTGTGTGTCCTAGTCACCAAAACTATGTACAACAGCAGACACAAACCTTGCTAAGTTTATCAATTATGTGTGCCAGGGACTCTGACGTAGCACAGAGTTCTCAGTGTCTTAGTGATTTGTGACCATTAGCAACTCAGACACTGAAAGATTCAAGTGGCCAGCCAGTGCTGGGAATTTTCTCATTTCAGGAAATTTGTCGATGAGGCATGCTAGAACCTCTGCGACTGGAGCACCGTGGGGAAGAAAGTCAGCCAGGCAGGAAGGGAGTGTGGAAACAGACAGGAAGATGACATACAGCATGGGCTTTCATGCTGGACAGCTCTATGTGGAGTCCCTCCTCCCCAGCCTCAGTTTCCTAACTGGCAAATAGAGGTGAATGAGAACTGGGCACACAGCATGGGCCCCGGATGCCAAGTCAAATCCTCTTCCCAACCCGTGTCTAGGGGAAGTGAACTGTGGCTTACCCAGTCCTCACGGGGTCTGCTTTGGTGGCTCTGAGGTTGTCATTGAACCATCAAAACTGAGACTTGGAATTCAAGGACTCTAAGGGGATATGGAAAGGGGCTGGTCAGGGTTAGCAGCTCACACAAACACTCTGGATCCAGTCATAGTGTAATGTAGTATAACGAAGTATGGCTGGAGGTCTCCAGAAGAACCCAGAGTATGCCCATGAGTCCGTTACTGAACAGCAATTCTACAACTCCTAAGGTGCTATTTGCACTTTTTTTTTTTGGCAGGGGGTAGGGGAGCAGAAGATAGGGGGAAGTGGGTAGGGGTAAGGAAGGGCAGGGATTGATGTTTGAAGTGATGCTGTAAAAAGCAATCAAAGATTAAAAACACTGTATACTTTGAATCAAAGTCGTGGTCCTGTCCTGGAGAGACGGTTAAGGGCATGCTCTGCTCCACCGAGAGCCCCAGTTTGGTTCCCAGCACCCATGTCAGGCAATTCCCAGCCATCTTCAATTCAAGGTGATCTGGTACCCTCTACTGAACTCCATGGGCACCTGTACTTAGTTGTGCACAAACCCGCATGCAGGCACAATTTTTAGGTATTATTTAAAATACATCCTTAAAAAAATTGTACCGGTAGAAAAATGTCTCTCGAAGGGACAGTTCATATGTTAGCACTGCCTTTCAACCTCT